TGGGGTTTAGGGTTTGGGGTGTCTCACGTACGAACCCAAGGCTCCTGACACTTCAATGAGAAGGGAGTGTGGGTATAGTTCCCCGTTAAGTAGATGGAGAATAGGGCTTAGGGTTCAAGGGTTATAGTCCCCCTTAAGTAGATAGAATATGGCCTTGGGTATATTGTAATAAGATCCCCGTATACCCCATATTCTATCTACTTAAGGTGGACTATAACTCCTGCTCCCAAAAGGAGGATCCTCAGTTAGGAGGCCCACTCAGTGGATGGAAGAAATCGTGCATCACTTAAGATCCCCAACTGCAACTCCTAGGATATAGCGAACGTAGGGTGCTGCAAGGTTGCCTCCATCCACACGTAACGTCTCCTTAAAGAATTGAATAGCCCGGCCTTCTGGAAGTAGGCCCTTTGTTCCCTGGAGGGCACCCCTGAAAAATCCAACCTAGCACCTCCAGCATCTCTCCCGACGCGAGATAGATTCGCAGCATCCCATCCGAGTGGAGAGGAGAGGACCAAAGTGTGGAGCTTGGATCTACTTGGAACAGGAAACGGAAACTACTAAAGAAACATAAAATGTAGTATCACTAATACTACTGTTACACTTATGGTTACTAGAACTATCAGCCTACTATTGTACTTTTTAGATTTTTGGCTTCAGAGCCGTCGAGAACAGCGAGCTCTAGGCATAGAAACTCCAACACCGAGGCCTAGACTCCGTGGCTTTCGGGTGTAGGGTTTAAGGTTTAGGATTTAGGATTTAGGGTTTAGGATTTAGGGTCTAGGGTTTAGGATTAAGGGTTTGGGCTTTGGGGTTTAGGGTTTAAGGCTCCATGGCCGCATCCCCAAACCTTAATTAGAGGTCCCCCACCCGAAGCAAATAGACCACAACAGAACCTGGAAGCATTTTGGGGAATTTCTGCAGGAGGGACCCCGAATCTACACCCCAAAACATAGGGAGCAGCAAGTTTTTGGGGATCCCCATCAAAAAGAGGATTTGCCAATTGGGGCTACCTTTTGGGGGGTGTAAGCCGACCCAGCAGCGGCCTTCGCATCACTCACTCCCAACGAAGCAAGCCATGCACCCCCGGGCACCACATCGCTTGACACCTGAAACATCTTAGGGTTTAGTGGTATTCAGTGGTATTTAAGGTGACTTAGGATTGTTTAGGGAAACCTACGGTTTAGGGTTATTCAAAGTTTTTCAGAGTTGTATAAGGAAAAGAAAATGGGAACCCCTATTTAGGGTTCAGAAGGATTTCAGGTTTCAGCCGTTCAGGGTTTGGGGGCTTTGAGGGTTTGAGGGCTTGGCTGCAGGGCCTGAAACATCCTGAAGCGTAGATTCAGGGCTTGAGCTTTAAAAGCCTCGGGCCTACGGTGCAGTTGAAGGTTTAGCGTTTATGGTTTAAATTAGGGTGCGGTGCCTAGAGGTTCAGCAGGAGGGTTATGTCTCGAGGTTGCCGATTCAGGGTGCAGGGTTCCCACGAATACTCAAGCCCTGTGATGCAGCCGTAACCGCAACAGTGCTGTTGCTTGTTGGAAGTCAAAGACAAAAAATGGTAACCAGCTCCTCCTGTTCTGGGAGGGATGAAGCATAGCCATACTGGCAACAGCACTGGGATAGCCATAGGGCCATAGTTGCTGCCGAGAGCTTGTGGCCAGTGGCACCCTAAACCCTAAACCCACACGCTCAACTTCACACCTTGCTAAGTCCAAAGCCCCTAAACCCTAAACCCGAAACCCAAATCTCGTCCTGAATTCAGATCCCGAGACCCCAGGCCCAACACTCCACATATCCACATGAGATCCCTAAACCCTTTGGGTTTAGGGTTTACAGGGTTTATAGGGTTTATAAGGTTTATAGGGTTCATAGGGTTCATGGGGTTCATAGGGTTTATAGGGTTTATAGAGTTTAGGTTTGCTACATTGGCCCCGAGTTCACGCCTCTTCTGTGCCCGGGACTTCCTCCAAACCTTCGTCTTCCTGCACCTGGGCTCTCACACTACTTCTTAAACAAGGGTTTTAGGGTTTAGGGTTTGGGGACATC